GCTACGTATTTACGATTGGTTTATTGGTTTCCGTTCAAAAGCTGCCCAACAAAAACACATTTTTTAAGTTTTACGTCCTATTAACAGTTATGGTCATTTAAGGACGTGCCCGGTTTCAATGGTGAAGGAGAGCCGGAGTTCCCGGAGAAAAAAAAAACGACCTACGGCCAGTACCTGGTGACTGCCCCACTTAGGTCTCCAACCCGCTAGTGGGTAGCAGAATGGAAGACGCCTGAACCACTTGGCCACCGCGGCCCTTGTAAAGGCTGTCACTATTGTTATTCATAGCTGCAAAAAAAAAAAAAAAAAAACATTTCTCCCAAATTTGGATGCCCATGCATATTAACAACTCTCTAGCTAAGTTTCATTGCCAGTGTGAGGCAGGAATATTTACGCAAATATGATGAGATTACTTCATGCTGAAGGGTTCCTAATACAACAACTGTCCTTAAAATTGTTCTAGTTCAACCTAATTTATTATGCAGATCCATATTTTAATATGCGTAAGATAATGGCAAATCTTACACTGAACCCAACAATGGACCACAGCTAGAACATTGTCCTGGATGCGGGGTATATAAGTCCTTGTATTTGCTTGTTCAGAATATTATTTTGTTTCAAATCTGGTTATTAGATACTCTGGGAAGTATGACGTTGATTATCAAACGATGTTCCAGTGACTAGTGTGTTCGGAAGAGACGCATGTATCGGATGCCAGTATTTTCATTAACATCAGTCGTGCATGAAAGTCGCTAATCATCTTGTAGCTCCAAATACATCTGGATGGGCTAAAGCAGTGTGTTTACACTCTCAAATCTCTTTGTCAAGTTAATGAGCCACTAGAAATTTTGAAAAGTTGTCCGTCTGCGGCTGTCAAGTAGAGAAAGAAGGGCTATTGGTACGCTCAAAGTGGAGGTGACGCAACAGGAAATTGAGACCGGCTTCGAATGCAGCTTGAAACAGTTGACCAGATTTCTCTGATTTTTCGAAAACAATGTTTCAACGAATTTTTGAATAACCGATACCAAAGCGCAAGTTGGGAGAGGAGAGGGAGGGGTCTAGGGTGTTGTAACAACCAATCCCTTTGACTATCCAGCGTCAATAAAATATGTTTTGAATGTACAGTAATTAGCTATGAATTATTTAAATTGACACTGGCCATGACACGACCTTCAGGAAAAAGAATACAACCAACTTCAGTTGCAATCATCATGCAAGGAGCTTGTGTAGCTAACTATATATGTAAAAAAAAAAAAAAAAAAAAATGAATTCCAGTCTAAAAGACTCTTCCAGTGATGCTAATGTGTTTTTTATGAAACTAAATTTCATGATTGATAACGGTCATTCGATCAAATGTAATCTGATCTTGTTCTGGTTTTATGATGAGGGATCACCAGTTACAGTTAACTGTTTGGAGACAACCCGGAGTAGAAGTGAAAGAGCAAACTAGTCCAAATTGGTGACAAATGAAACTGTCAATCAAATGTCCAAACCACTGGAGTTCCGCTATTTTTAAGGGAAAGGAATTCCAACTAGCTGAATAATAAACTCGACAAGCGGAATTAACAAGACTGAGTATTTTTTCTGTTGATATTTGTATTCCAGAGATATTCTTCAATACCCAAGACAATTTCAAACAGCAAGAAAAAATCGTTTTTCTCCCTCAGATTAGCTAAAACTGGCCACAGATTAAGTAATGTTTTGTTTAAGTCTTTCAAATAGGTTTTTTTCTGCTTTACAGGGAAAGAAATACTCGGTATTTAGTATTGAGATAAACACTTTGGTTATCTAGACATATTTGGTGTTTGCGCATGAAAATATGGCTGACATCGTCACTTCCTCACATAAGGAGACACATACTATGTCCAGACATTTTACAGTCGATATGAAATAGGAAACATCAATCGACAAGTTGTCAGTGCTCTTTGCCGAGTATTCGGAGATATGACGATCGCCCTTCTCCAAAAAATAATAAAACGTTAATTTGTCTACAAGAAGAAAAAAATGCAAACCATCGTTTTAAAGATGACAGTTTGGTTCTCCTACTTCAGCCGACTTCTTTGATTTTTGCTGACAACGATGAGGAATGAGCTGGGCGATTTCGATTTTCAGATCGTTAACTTTTCCTTTTCCAAGGAGATGGATTTTTACTTCCAAAACATATAGTGTTAACATGTCACCGTTTATTTGAGTTTGATATTAGTATCACTGGTCCATGATGGATGTCGTCTGCTGACGGACAAACTTACACCACAAGGTTTACACAGAAGCATGTTGATGAAGAAACGTGTTGTAGTCGCAATCATCATCTCATTGGAACGTACGCCATTGTTATGTGGGGTGACTGGGTCGATATTTTTGTTTCATTAGCGTTCTTTGTTGTCACTACTCGCTATGAGGAAGTGAAACTACTCGGCTTTGACCTGGATTTACATATTGGGTAACGTCGATGAAGCAAAAGACTACTTTTCCGATGATCGCCATTTAAATATTTCTTTTGTTTGTATTTTGCCGTGTTTGTTTAATTAAATCGATTTTGAGTTCGAATTGCGGGTTCTGGTGACAAACTTCCCATCCAGCTAAAGAACAGAAGAGCTGGATGGGAAAATGGTAAAGAAGAAAACATATACGCAATAATATAATAGACAAGGAAGTGTGTCTATAGTATTGTATTATTAACTGATTAGCTGGTGTGTTCTACATCTTGTACAATATATTCCAGCGGTACATTTTCACCTGATTGGCCTCCCCATGTTACGAATCTTTCAGTATTGTCAACATGAGACGTGCGCCGCGGTTCAATAATGCAGAAATTGTACATTTCAACATTATAAAGCTAGTATTGATCTATTTACTTTTGAGAGGTGACGCAAACTCGTTCAGGCAGCCTGACATGTATACAAAGGAAAGAGCTTTAAACAAACATTAGACCGTAGTGACTCAAACACTGACACCAGATAAGGTTTCATATAATGGTATAATTAGCCTACCACTATACTTACAACAATAACATGACAGAAAATCCCCCAACAATGCAGTTTAGACCAACTAATTTGTATGCTAAAATCATGTGTTTAAACAAATTATTTGGACGACGCACAAGGGTACGGAAGTTAGCTGGCCGTGAAATTGTATCTATTTTAGGACCCAAACAGAAATATACTTGAACTTTAAAAAGTACTTTTATCATTTACATTTGAACCATTTTATTGCCGAAATTTCGTTCTAAGCTTTATCATAAGTCTGCAGTAAATTGTGCCTGTAAATATCATGCACTATGCTAAGTAGACGTCTACAAAAACAAAATATCATGACGTCGACACCTAAGAACAAAATCGAAATTTATACAAAATGTCAACAACAGGAGCTAAGAGACAGTTAACGCTAGACGCTAAGGGAACACTAAAACAGAAGGTAAGGAGCACATTAACATGTGGCTTTGGAAACACGACAATATGGCGGTAAGGAAACACTTACAATATAGCGCTGAGAAAACACTAAAACAGCAGATAAGAAAACACTTACAATATAGCTCTGAGGAAACACTAAAACAGCAGATAAGGAAACACTTACAATATGGAGCTGAGGAAACACTAAAATAGTAGATAAGAAAACACTTACAATATAGCGCTGAGGAAACACTAAAACAGCAGATAAGAAAACACTTATTATATGGAGTTTAGGAAACATTAAAACAGCAGATAAGGAAACACTTACAATATGGAGCAGAGGAAACATTAAAACAGCAGATAAAGAAACACTTACTATATGGAGCTGAGGAAACACTAAAATAGCAGATAAGGAAACACAATATGGAGCTGAGGAAACATTAAAACAGCACATAGGGAAACAGTTACAATATGGAGCTGAGGAAACAGTTACAATATGGAGCTGAGGAAACACTAAATAGCAGATAAGGAAACACTTACAACATGGAGCTTAGGAAATACTATTACATCAGATAAAGAAACACTTACAATATGGATCTGAGGAAACACTATGGAGATGAGGAAACACTAAAACAGCAGATAAGGAAACACTAACAATATGGAGCTTAGGAAATACTATTACAGCAAATAAGGAAACACTTACAATATGGAGCTGAGGAAACACTAAAACAGCAGATAAGGAAAAACTTACAACTTCGAGCTGAGGAAACATTAAAACAGCAGAAAAGGAAACACTTACAATATGGAGCTGAGGAAACATTAAAACAGCAGATAAAGAAACACTTACAATATGGAGCTGAGGAAACACTAAGGAAACACTTACAATATGGAGCTGAGGAAACACTAAGGAAACACAATATGGAGCTGAGGAAACACTAAAACAGCAGATAAGGAAACACTTACAATACGGTGCTGAGGAAACACTTACAATATGGAGCTGAGGAAACACTAAAACAGCAGATAAGGAAACACTTACAATATGGAGCTGAGGAAACACAATATGGAGCTGAGGAAACGCTATAACAGCTGATAAGGAAACACTTACAATATGGAGCTAAGGAAGAGGAGACGCTAAAACAGCTCTAAAATACAGTAATATAAAGCAACAATCCCACGATAGATAAAAGGTATTAACTGCTACACATATGACAACGTCAAGTGTACACTGAAATCAACTAGATGCAGAGCCGTAACAGCGCCTAGTGAGTCAGCGTTTTTCAGATGGTTATACATATGACATTAAAATGGATACGTGTCTTTTAGTTCAGAATGCAAATATATTTGTTTTGGCGCCATTATAAAGCTGCTCGGTACATACTCGGGTTTTAGTCGGGCGATAGCAATGCAGTGTATAGTGGACCTTGTCTAGGACCGGTGTTTGCTTTATTTCATAAGAGGTCATTTAGGGTATCATATCTTTACTTTGCTTCACGTCGAAACCTATCTCCTTACTTGTTCGTTGTTTCATTTTTTCTATGCGGTATTGCACAATATCTTCAAACACTTCATTTGTCGTGTCTTTATTTTTAAACGCTTTATCCTTGACCTCTGACTTAAACAGGTTTTTAAATCCCCACCATTTCCGATACCTAGACAAACAGAACGTTCACGACCAACTACTTTACCTGTGTGTGGATAGCTATAGTTGGGAAGATAACGGTGTTAACACTCATTACTATGGCCGACATGGCACCCTGTTATATCTACCTGGTGGTTTTAGCATTATGTGTTGACGAGGGCATGGGGAGTACGATGCGGCCCGGGGGTTCTACATTACAGCCGGGAGCCACAGCAACACCGGCCCTAATTTGCACGATCCCGTCCAACATCCCGACGACCGACTGGATAAAAGAATCCTTCCCGAACCCTAGGGTAAACGTTACGTTATGCGGTCGGGAGTGTATGAAATCCTGGGTATGTGACCCCTCGGGGATTCTCAACCCCAAAGACGGTGAGTGACAACTTTTATTGGTATTTGCATTTATTTACTTCGCCATCGCTTCGGCTCCTTTAAACTATTTGAATGATTAAACTGTCGAATGTGTTCTTCGAGCCATATTTATGCTTTTCGTGTAAACCATATATTATAGTGAGCATGCGAGACCACTTTTATCGAAGACAAACTAAAAACGAAGTATAATGACTCTTTATTGAAATCTACTATTTTGTGGCGTATTTGGTCACGGCAGTTTGATCTAGTCGGGCTAACGACAAGTATTTGGTCAGCCCTCAACACCAATCGGGAACCGTCGGCACTTTCCGTAAACGAGATACCTCGAGAGTAGAAGGCGGAGTAATACAGACAAATTTTGTCCAAAAAGGCTTTCCGGTGTAAGGATCAACAAGTTAGTCGCCGGTATATCACAACTGTCATAGCGGAGTTTGAAGCGTGTGTGTTAATTGTGAAGCGTTGGATCACAATTTCAACTTGATTAAAAGGAGAAACAAAATTGAAACCCTCCGGAATTTACATTATGGCTGCAACGTATACGTGAGGCTGTTCTAGAAACACACATTTTCATCAGCTGATAGTAGAACGTTGCCTAAAATCCACTTTAGGCTTTATTTTTCCGTGGCTCATCACTAAATTGAAAACTATTGTCCTACTTTTCATGCTACATGAAACTCGTGGAGCCATATATATAGTCGTTGCTTCAAAATGGTCTGTGTCATAACTACTGACTTACTAAAGATATAGCTATGTGATATGTTTGGGATTTATATAGGATTGAAAAGCATTGATGCATACCTCAACTCGGTATTTACATCCGAGGTCAAGGCCACACTGAGGACAAAGGTGAAATTCATATTTGGGGAGCTTGATCCATCAGTTAACTATACATGTTTAACTGATTTTCCGAAGTTTGTTCCTGTCTGTTCCAATTGTGTTATTTTTATTAAGTAATTCATTGAAATACTTTGTCACCTGTTCAATGTATAATGTTTCCAGTTCAGGTTAAAAGGTATGTTAGGATAGTTTAAGTTAACATGTGGAGGATCCTTTTTATCTACCAATGTTTTGGATTTTCCACTATTGCTTATTTTACTTTCGCAAATTCATCCAAAATTTAGAAGAAAAACATTTTTCCAGAACATATATCAAACAAATATGTTATATTCCATTTAACGTATTACCTGGTAGCTAGAATATTTACATCAATATGTGTTTTAGAATACTTTGCCATTTCCCTAAACTTTCAAAAGGTCATAATAAATTACTACACTACTCATGTAACTGTAATGTCTCTTTGTCTTATTAACTTTTCCTCTATTATATTTCTTATGAAAACATTTTGTCCAAGACTTGCAGTGAAAAACTGTGCCTTATTGATATGTACTCTACGTGAAATTGAAGTTCTTCTTTTGTAAGTTTTTATGAATGCATGTCTTCAGCTAACTTATATGTTTTGTAATTTAGTTTTGGTTCAAGATGGTGTCCACATGAAACTAAAAGACAATATGTCATTTCAAATTTCCTAACAGAAAATTGAATTCAGAGCTGATAACTGAATGCCTATATTATCAACTTCGATCAAAATCATTTGTGGTTTTACTATGTTTATTTTCAACATGTTGTAAAATAAACAATGATTTAATTCCATGATGAGGCTAAACAAAATATGTGTTGTCTTTCAGCTACTTACCTAGTAAAATCCTCGAGCACCTCACCTGAAATATTTTGTAGCCAAAATAAGAAATTGGATTTATCTAAATCCATTCAGTAGATTACACTAATTCAGAATCTGTGCATTCCAAGAATAATGATATCAGTTAAGTGTTCTGGTAGAACTGTTGGCGATAAATGAGGTATTGGTGCGTTCGAGTCATGGACAAACACGCTGGCAAAGAAATTGTTGAAAATTTCAACCGTTTCCTCATCTGTTTCGGTTAATTGATCTACCTGATTTGACAGTCTATTGGTGACAGTTGCCGTTTTAGTTTTAAACCGGAGATATTTCGGGTTCGTTTTGAATTTTACAGCTAGGTCTTTCTCAAACTGATATCTAAAGTTCCTTATCCTTATACAACATAATATATTCACTTTGTAGTTATGAAAGCTTTGATCCGTTTCTTCTTTTTGATCGTTTGTTTAGCATCGATGTCAAGATATGTTCTGTTCTGATTTCTTGGTTGAGATATCTTCCTCATTGGTATACATTTCTTTATTTCTTGTATAAAGAGGACAGAAAGTTTATCCCAAGCTTCCAAAATTCCATTACAATTACTCAGATCCTCAGCATCAAAGTTGTTTAGGTCATGCGTCATCTCTATGTAATTGCTCTACTCCCTCCTGGGATGGTGTGGTGGAGTTATCAGTACACATATCAAAACGTAGGGTCAAATGGTCACTTTTTCCTGATGATGAGAAATAGCTTACGTCATCAAACATTTCCTCCTCGTTCGTGAAGATAAGGTCCAGAATATTTGGGGTTTGTCCTTCGCAGTATCTAGTGCTTAACATGTCGGTAGATGAAGCTGTCCCTCGTTGTTTCAAGAAATTTTGTGGCTGGATGGTTTTCCCTTGTGGTTGTTGATCCAACTTCCCAGTTTATTTCCTTAAAATCAAAGTCTCCTAGAATTAGAAAATAGGAATAATGTAAGGAATACAATTTCCTAAGGAGGTCAAATAGGCGATCATTGTTTTGTTCTGGACTGTTAGGGATTCTGTATATGCAGCACACAAGTAACGAGTCTCTGTTTTGGAGGTTAAATCCCCATCGAGAACTAATTTTTCACAAATTAGGTTTCTCGAGACGTATATCCCAATACCACGTTTGTTTGGTTCACTGTAGTACGAGTTGAAGTTATCCACATCATAACATTAAGTGTACAACTGTAGACAGTTACATTTTGGAAACATTTCTGTTAGACATACCATATCCAAGTCTCTGTCGTAAATATGTTCCACTAGTTCGGATTTTTTTGTGTTGGTCATAACATTTACATTAGAATACAAACATCGGATTTGATTTCCTGGTATTACTCTGCCTGATAATATATTTCCAGTATTTCCAGTGTTATATTGTCCTCTGGAGTATTTAGGATTGCACGTTCCTGTGGTCCTTCCTGATATATTCGAGTCATTTCTACCTCGGATATCACAATCGAATCCAGATAGGCGTTGTGTCCATATCATCATTTTCTGACACATTTCCAGAGAGTATTGGGTAGGTGTCCCCAAAAGTTGAGGGTGCGAGTTGAATCGAGTGTTCCGTACCGGTTCTGATTTATCATCTACACCTGTTGTACCCCGTGCAGCCGTGTCCACATTTCTAATGGGCGACTCTGTTGCGTAACAATCCCCAAACAGCAGAGCCTGACCTTTATTACTGCGACGGTTCATAGCAATTGAGTACTGACAGGGGTGCTCCACGGGTAATACGTTGAGCGCTGGGAAATATATGTCAGCTGTGACCTTATAGTTCGGTCGTCCTGTCTATGACGGGCTGTTGGGGACGAATGTCGATCCTTGTGTGGTTGATCCATAAATAGCTTGGTAGTCCCAAATTGCCTTGATAGTACCTTGAAGTTCTTGACTAGTGTTAATTGAGCAACTCCATTATCATAATGGTATTAGACTATTAGTCATTGATAGAGCAGTCTGTATTCCACTGATAAGCCTCAACTATTTTAAACGTTTATAACTTAAACGTCTCTGAATTCGCGTCGATGTCGCATTATTGTTAACATTGTCAATGTTCTAACTACATGGACTAAAACATGGTTTAACAGGCACTGCTTAACGCTTATAATATATAAATATACAAAATGGCATCTAGGTGGTCAAGTAATCCTTCAGGAAACCAGGCCTTCTGATGATTCTTGCTGATGTCCGGGTAGCACATATTGGTGGTCCAGGGTTCACCATCACAGGTTTGACTGGTGGTGACTGAGACATTTGTGTGGATACTGATTTTGGTGGATCTACTTTCCTGTCTGTAGTAGTTTCCAATGCAGGAGATTCAGTCTGGTCAATAAATGGTGCTCATGTTTTGTGGAGGTGCCTCCTGTTTCTCCGTAAAACCTGACCGTCCTCTGTCCTGACATTGTAGAATCTTATAGCTACCTCATCCTCCACTTGAGCCTTTTTCCAAGTCTTTGGTGGTCCATTGGTCGAATCCTAACAGACTCTCCAGGTAGTAATCTCGGTAGCTCTTTAACACCTCCGTTGTAATAGTACGTCGCCTTTTCTTTTCTTTTCATGAGACGTTGAGCGACATCCTTTGTAGGAAGACAAGTAGGTTGTAATAGCTTACCTGTAGTTGGTAAACGTGTTTTGGTTCTACGACCAAACAGTCGTTGAGCTGGAGAGCAGTTGATTCCCTCACTGGGCGTGTTTCGCCAATCAAAAATCACTAGAATGGGTCACTTCTGTCCTTGAGGGACTTTTCCATAACTCTCTTGCTGTTTTGATAGCATTTTCGACTTTGCCATTTGATTGCGGGTAGCGTGGGGAACTGGTCTTGTGTCTAAACTCGTATGATTCTGCAAAGTTTCTTAACTCATTCCCTCCAAATGGTGGTCCGTTGTCTGTTATCATGTAGTCTGGTATTCCATGGCGTGCAAAATGGGCCTTGAGTTTTCGGATTACATCAGATCCAGTCTTGTTATCAAGTTGGTAAACTTCAAAATAGTAAGAATAATAATCTACTTGTTGTTAAAGTAGAATTGGTCACAACCTATTTTTCCCATGGCCTATCTGGTACCTTATGGCTAATCATTGGCTCTTTTTGATTTTCTTCTTTGTATGTGTTGCACGTTTCACAATTCAATACGAATGTCTCAATATCTTTATTCATGTTTGGCCAGTACATGCATTCGCGAGCACCTCTGAGGCGTCCTTGTACACCAATGTGATTTAAATGTACGCGTTCGATGAGCCTGTTATGCTCACTGATGGGGATAATAACAACTCTATCATCTTTGTGAATCAATCCATTGTCAATTGTCAACTCCTCACGAAAGGGAAAATACAGTTGTGTCTCTTTCGATAAGGATTCCCTTGAATCTGGCTATCCTTGTCGTATTCCTGTTTTTAACCCTCTGAGTTCATCATCATGATCAGTAGCTGCCTTTAGCTGTTTGAGTGTGTCAGAGGAAAGGAGTAGGTATTGAAGTGCATCCACATATTCTGTTTCTTTTTCTGTCATTGACTGTTGAGTGTTTTCCATCGTAAATATGATATTACGGTTCTCCTTGTCTACACCAGGAAGGAAGGCTCGGCTTAATGTATCTGCCATATACATGAGCTGACCTTTCTTGTAGACAATCTCTAAGTCAAACTTTTGCAGACGTAGTAGCATACGTTGTAAACGTTTTGATAATCTCTAGAGGCTTGTGGTCTGACTCAACAAATATATGCCGTCCGTAAGTGTATTGCTCAAATATCTCCATACCAAACACCACCGCGAGGAGTTCCTTCTCGATTTGAGCATAGTTCTGCTCAGTTTCTGAACGTGATCTTGACACATACGCAACATGCTGACTTTCCTGTAGTAGACAAGCACCTAAACCTTGCATAGAGGCATCACACTGTAGGACAGTGTCCTAGCTTTCTGGATCAAAGTATTTTAACACCGGTGCCTTCGACAAGATTGTCTTTATCTTTGCAAATGCTTTTCCAGTTTTTTGCAGTTTCCTCCGATATGAACTCAGAATCTTTCTCTATCAACTCTCTCAAGGGTGCTGTTATCTCACGGAGAGATGGAGCAAACTTCTGGACACAATTTATCATCCCGAGGAGCCTCTGTACTGCTGCTTTGTAAGTGGGTGTAGGCATCTCTTGTATTGCCTTAACCTTAGTTAGGTCCATTCTCAATCCTTCAGCACTAATCACATGTCCTAGGCATGTGACAGATGGTAGTCGGAGCTTGAGTTTGTCTCGGTTTACCTTTATGTTTTCCCGACGACAACGGTCAGACAGTGCTGTTAATTTCTTGTCATGATCCAGTCGAGCTTCTTCATCACTATCACCGCATCCAAACACCACAATGTCATCATGAATGGCCTTGATCCCCTCACTGTCACCGCATCTGTCACCGCATCCAAACACCACAATGTCATCATTTATGGCTTTGATTCCCTCTCTGTCACCACATCTGTCGCCGCATCCAAACACCGCAATGTCATCTTGAATGGCTTTGATTTCCTCAAGTCCTTCTAGAGCGACATCCGTTCTTCTCTGAAACTCATCTGGTGCAGAAGATATCCAAAATGGCATCCTCAGCCACCTATAGCGTCCCTATTGAGTTCCGAATATGGTCAAGTAACTGCTTTCCTCATCAAGCTTGACGTGCCAGAATCCATCCTTTGCGTCTACAACAGAGAAGACTCTGGCCTTACCCAACTCTGGAAGTATGTCATTAATTGTCGGCATTGTGTAATGATTTCTTTCAGTGCCTTGTTCAGTGGTTTGGGATCTATGCACATTCTTATCTTACCATTTGGTTTCTTCACAACAAGTAACGATGAGATCCAATCTGTTGGTCTGTCCACAGGAGCTATCACACCTAGGTCCGTCAGTCTCTTCAACTCAGCTTCGAGTTCAGGTTTGATTGCTAAGGTACTCTCCTTACAGGTATATTGGTGGGAGGCACATTGATTGACTCTGTTGACACAGTTGAAACATTCACTGACGACTGTATGCTTTTCTGATTGACAGTTAACAGGTGCATGGCCTGTATGGTTCTCGACCCCATACCTCAAACTCCACATTGTATTTATTTCCATTTCTAGGATTCCAAATACGATAACGTCTCTTTCCAAGAGTAACACCAGAGTTACACCAGAGTAATACCAGAGTAACACCTGAATATAACAAATCAACTACAACAATCACAATGTAACACCATAAATCACAAAACGACAAACACAATCACAAAAACAACAACAATATTCATACGACAACAGCAGTAAAACCCCACTTCAACGATCACAATAGCACATCATAAATCATAAAACATCAATCAAAGAACGACTAAAACAATAACAAAACGCAATAACAATAATAACACAATAACAACAATCACCAAACAACTACAACAATCAAAATATTACAAAAACAAATACAACCACTACAAAAATCACAAACAACAGCTAAAATAACCACAAACTTCAATCACAAAATACTACACAAATAACAAAACAGGGGCAGTCACAAAAACGACTAAAGAAATCGCAAAATAACAACTACTCCAACAATCGTAAAACACAGTCACAACAACCACAAAACAACTACAACAACCACAAATCAACTACAACAATCACAAAACAACTACAACAATCACAAAACAACAACAATCATAAAACAACTACACGAATCACAAAACAACTACAACAACCACAAAACAATTACAACAACCACAAATCAACTACAACAATCACAAAACAACTACAACAACAACAAAACAACTACAACAATCACAAAACAACTACAACAACCACAAAACAACTACAACAACCAAAAAACAACTACAACAATCACAAACCAACAACAACCATAAAACACCTACACGAATCACAAAACAACGACAACAATCACAAAACAACTACAACAACCACAAAACAACTACAATAATCACAAAACAACTACAACAATCACAAAACAGCTACAACAATCACAAAACAACTACAACAACCACAAAACAACTACAACAATCACAAAACAACTACAATAATCACAAAACAACTACAATAATCACAAAACAGCTACAACAAAACCACAAAACAACTACAACAATCACAAAACAACTACGACAACCACAAAACAACAAAAACAATCATTTAACAATTAAAACAATTGAAAAAACAAAAACCACAAGATAAGTATAAGATACGTGTCAATAACGCTTTTTTATTGCTATACTATTTGTACCAATGATTATAACTTAATTACGTTGGCTGTGAAAATCTTTCACACTTACCTTTTAAGAGTACGTATATCATAGCATATCGCTGTATACAAACACTGTCTTACATACGTTCTTGATCAATAAATGATCAATAGCCAGATAGTTCATATGTTTTATTCCACAAGCAGATAAGTGGTAAGTACTTAGAACAAAGACACAAAGTCATACAAGTAGAAAAAGGGTATGTACTTAGAACAGAGACATAAAGTCATACAAGTAGATAAGTGGTATAAGTGGTAAGTACTTAGAACAGAGACATAAAGTCATACAAGTAGATAAGTGGTAAGTACTTAGAACAGAGACATAAAGTTATACAAGAAGCATGAAAGAATGAGTCGATAATGTATATAAGAAAAAACAATGCACACATAACCCGATTTGTTAAGAAAGCATATGTAGGCAAATAATTCCATTAGTTATAAATAGAGCCGCCGGTGTCAGGAATTATCATAATGCGATGTATTAAAAGGCAACGATGATTAGAACACAGTTGTATAACACACCAATTCAACAATCCGTCTCTGTTTTAACAGCTGACTTCTTGGACGACCAGATAGACGCCCTCGCCACCAACGGTCAATGTGGCTGCAGAAATTGTGTGGTGGGGAAAGATGGCTACAAAATCGGAGTGGCACTCGTACGAAAGATGGGAATGAAGTCTTTGTAAGTTTCGTAGGCGGCTTTGTCTAACAAAACCCGTCTTCCTCTAAAGTAAACAAGGCCTCTATTATCGAACAAATTGTTCCGCATTTGTTGGAGTTTTTTACCCTCTCGTCAGAATTTGCGCAAGGCCCCTAACTGCCATCGGCATTTATAGACATACTGTAAAATTATATCTGAAGTCAGTCGACGAAATACTCCACAATTTAAGCTAAAATACCCCACAATTCAAACTTAAATACCCATAAATTTAAGCTAAAGCCCCCCACAATTTGCGCTAAAATTCCTATCAATTTAAGCTGTTCGGTTGCTTAGAACGACTTTGATATCATTAATCAACATCGATCATTCTTGTTGTCGAGTAATACTTCCCTATCGGTTTTTTCTGATATTTATATTTTACCCAGTAGATGGATAAATATCCGAAGCTCATTTTGTTTTGCATTTTGACAAGAGGGAAATCACCTCTTCTAAAAAGCGATTTTTCACAAACTTTTGATTTAAAAAATCAAAACATACCAGAAACGTGAAATCCGCTCTCTTACATTTGGAATTAACATTCGAGTGAACAAAATTTTGTTGAATGTTAATCAAACAAAAATACAATTGTCCGGCAATGTAATAAATTTGTGATAAAGTACATATTGACATAATGTAATAAAAGGAAAAGAGCAGGAATACCATACCGACGTGACCATTATTTGAATGGCGTACATTAAATACATATTAGTATTCTTCCTAAGTTCGTGTAGAAAAATAGAATCAGTAACCCCATGTATAAAGCTAAGTAGCACCAAGTATACACCTAAGTAGCACCATGTATACTCCTAAGTAGCTCCATGTATAAACCTAAGTACAGTAGCACCATGTACAAATCGAAGTAGCACATTTTATAAAACTCAGTAGCACCATGCATAAAGCTGAGTAACACCATGCATAAAGCTAAGTAACACCATGTATAAAGCTAAGTAGCTCCATGTATAAACTAAGTAGCACCATGTAAAAACTAAGTAGCTCTATGTATAAACTAAGTAGCTCTGTGTATAAGCCTAAGTAGCTCTATGTATAAACTAAGTAGCTCTATGTTAAAACTAAGTAACACCATGTATAAACCTAAGTAACACCATGTATAAACTAAGTAGCTCTATGTTAAAACTAGGTAACACCATGTATAAAACTAAGTAGCTCTATGTATAAACTAAGTAGCTCTATGTCAAAGCTGAGTAACACCATGTATAAAACTAAGTAGCTCTATGTACAAACTAAGTAGCACCATGTAAAAACTAAGTAACACCATGTATAAACCTAAGTAACACCATGTATAAAACTAAGTAGCTCTATGTATAAACCTAAGTAACACAATGTATAAACTAAGTAGCTCTATGTTAAAACTAGGTAACACACTGTATAAAACTAAGTAGCTCTATGTATAAACTAAGTAGCTCTATGTTAAAACTAGGTAACGCCATGTATAAAACTAAGTAGCTCTATGTACAAACTAAGAAGCACCATGTAAAAACTAAGTAACACCATGTACAAACCTAAGTAACACCATGTATAAACTAAGGAGCTCTATGTATAAACCTAAGTAACACCATGTATAAAACTAAGTAGCTCTATGTATAAACCTAAGTAGCTCCATGTATAAACTAAGTAGCTCTATGTTAAAGCTGAGTAACACCATGAATAAACCTAAGTAACACCATGTATAAACTAAGTAGCTCCATGTATAAACTAAGTAGCTCCATGTATAAACCTAAGTAACACCATGTATAAACTAAGTAGCTCTATGTATAAACCTAAGTAACACCATGTATAAAACTAAGTAGCTCTATGTATAAACTAAGTAGCTCCATGTATAAACTAAGTAGCTCTAGATCTATGTATAAACTAAGTAGCTCCATGTATAAACTAAGTAGCTCTATGTATAAACTAAGTAGCTCTATGTATAAAGCTAAGTAACACCATGTATAAAACTAAGTAGCTCTATGCATAAAACTAAGTAGTACCAAGTTTAAACCTAAGTAGCTCCATGTATACACTTAAGTACAGAAGCACAATGTACAAACCGAAGTAGCACATTTTATAAAACTAAGTAGCACCATGTACAAATCGAAGTAGCACCATGCATAAAGCTGAGTAACACCATGCATAAAGCTATGTAACACCATGTATAAACCTAAGTAGCTCCATGTATAAACCTAAGTAGCACTATGTATAAAGCTAATTAGCTCCATGTATAAAACTAAGTAGCTCTATGCATAAAACTAAGTAGCACCATGTTTAAACCTTAATAGTTCCATGTATAAACTTAAGTACAGTAGCACCATGTACAAATTGAAGTAGCACCATGTACAAATTGAAGTAGCACCATGCATAAAGCTGAGTAACACCATGCATAAAGCTATGTAACACCATGTATAAACCTAAGTAGCTCCATGTATAAACCTAAGTAGCATTATGTATAAAAGTAAGTGACACATTGTATTAACCTTAAAAGTATCATGTAAAAATGAAAGTACATGTAGGACATTGTATAAAGTGTAGAAAGCTAAGTAGCACCATGTATAAAACTGAGTAACACTTTGTATAAAATACACTATCATTGTAGCGTTGTGTCAAACAATGTCGATAAGGATAATGAAGCGATGGAGTTCTCCGCTTATCTGAGGTCCGTATCCTGGAAGTTCGGCACATGTGATAATAGCATCGTTATCTTCTATTCTCAAGAGGACAGGAAGGTAAGTGGAAGTGCCTTCACAGAGGTTCAAATGTTTGATAATAACTAAAACAAATGTACACTCGTTATTGTAGACAAGGAAACCCTATCACCACATTCTTGTCAGAAGTGGTACGCTAGTGGAGGGTTTAAAAAATCAGGAATACACTTATTAACGGTACACTATTTTGCAATAATTATGAAACAAGCTATTTCAACATATATAAATCACTCTTGTTGGCCCGGATGTAAGCGCGCAGGGGGTCTTAATGTGGGAGGAAACAGGAGTACCCGTGGTCGAGCAGGTAACCCTATACATTTTCATGTCCGATTGGGGAATCAAACCCCAGTCGCCTTGTTGAAAGGTAAGCAAGTACTCTATCCACTGCGTTACCCGACCACCCCTAGTGGTATATTACTAGTTAATGGAACACTTTTTCGTCACTATAGTCACGTACACCAGTCAATGATACATTGTTATTGTAGTCTAGGATACACTATCTCATTATTGTAGTCAAGGATACACTATCTCGTTATTGTAAAATAGGATACACTATCTCGTTATTGTAATATATGATACACTATCTCATTATTGTAATCTAGGATACACTATCTCATTATTGTAGTCTAGGATACACTATCTCATTGTTGTAGTCCAGGATACACTATCTCATTATTGTAGTCTAGGATACACTATCTCATCATTGTAGTCTAGGATACACTATCTCATTATTATAGTCTAGGATACACTATCTCATTAGTGTAGTCTAGGATACACTATCTCATTATTGTAGTCTAGGATACACTACATCGTTATTGTAGTCTAGGATACACTATCTCGTTATTGTAGTCCATGATACACCATCTCGTTATTGTAATATAGGATACACTATTTTGTGATTATAATATAGGATACACTATATCGTTGTTGTAGTCAGTGATACACTATCTTGTTATTATAGTCAGTGATACACTATCTCGTTATTGTAATATAGGATACACTATCTCGTAATGGTAGTCACTAATACACTATCTTGTTATTGAAGTCAATGATACACTATCTCGTTATTGTAGTCAGTGATACACTATCTCGTTATTGAAGTCAGTGATTTACTATCTCGTTATTGAAGTCTAGTATGCACAATCTCGTAATGGTAGTCAGTGATACACTATCTCGTTATGGTAGTCTAGGGTACACTATCTCGTTATTGTAATATAGGATACACTATCTCGTAATGGTAGTCAGTGCTACACTATCTCCTTTATGTAGTCAGTGATTTACTATCTCGTCATTGAAGTCTAGGATGCACAATCTCGTAATGGTAGTAAGTGATTCACTATCTCGTAATTGTAGTCTAGGATACACTATCTCGTTATTGTAGTCAGTGATTTACTATCTCGTTATTGAAGTCTAGGATACACTATCTTGTTATTGTAGTCAGTGATACACTATCCCGTTATTGTAGTCAAGGATGCACTATCTCGTTATTGTAATATTGGATACACTATCTCTTAATGGTAGTCACTGATACACTATCTCGTTATTGTAATATAGGATACACTATCTCGTAATGGTAGTCACTAATACACTATCTCGTTATAATAGTCAGTGATACACTATCTCGTTATTGTAGTCAGTGATTTACTATCTCGTTATTGTAGTCTAGGATGCACAATATCGTAATGGTAGTCAGTGATACACTATCTCGTTATTGTAGTCTAGGATACACTATCTCGTTATTGAAGTCAGTGATACACTATCTCGTTATTGTAGTCAGTGATACACTTTCTCGTTAATAAATTTTGTGGTTCATTTTAAGCGACGACATTAAACCCAATCTTTTCGGTTGTTTTAAAGATGATGACATCAACTGGTGCAAGAGCAAATCACGTCCTCACGGTGAACTGTACCGGGGAGATCTTTAACGAGGTTAAGCCCATGCTTAAGAGTGGTCAAGTGTTCGAGGCGCTGCACCACATGGTAACTCGTTACGGGTAAGGTGTTATCAGTTTTGGCACATATTTAAATTCGAACAAACCCTATGCTTTAATATCTCATGTTAACTCAAATACACTGTGATTACTTATTGATAGAAAGTAAATAATGTGGGTGTTCGTATTCCAATATGTCATGAGATATATAAATACCGTAGGGCGGGTGTAATCACCGTAACTGCAATGGGAACATTATCATATAATTAGTCATATACATAATTATATAATATAAGTAACATTATATATGTATTGTAGTGGGTATGCTTGATTCCATTTGTTTATGTCACCAGACAAGTTCTGCAGACCGGCCAATGCCACCCACCCATAGAGCCCCAGGAGCTTGGTGTCGGCATGGTGATACTCATTGTCGTTATCTGCATCGTCGTTGGGATCCTTGCCGTGATTGGGGGCGTGTGCGGTTGGCGGAGGAGTCATGGTAGCTACCACAAGGGCAGATCTCACGACCCGGACAAAGGTAGTGACGAACCGAAAACGTTTACTGGCGGGGAAACAGGAGACGGTGGCGGGGTGGCTGGGGGATCCTTTTAGGGGACGTCAAAGGAAGTGATGGAACGAGAAGATGTCGACTGGATAATTCTTGTTGGTCGAAGTTGTTATACTTTCTAACGATTTGACAATGTACAAAACATTCACGGACAAGGTGGTCAACGTTCATTATGCCAGTGCATCAACTAATTACATAGCTTACAGACCGTCGCTTGGGACTTTTTAAATGGTTTCTTAGTGAAAATTTTGATTCTCTCTTTAGGAACAAATATACACTAACCCAACGCCAAATTTTAAATTGACAAAATGACAAAAAAAAGAATAGTAGTACGATTTACATTTATATACATACACAACATATATGTATAAAATATATGAAACGGTGTTTCAACTTTTTTCCGAAACGGTATTTAACAGATAACGGTGTGTAACACAATAACGGACGAAGTACATTCTTTTCCTATTGTACTTTGGAAAATATTGTTTTTCGAAAGAATTTTAAAAATAATTCCTGTGTATAGTTTTTTATTGTTTTGTTCGCTCCTTTGGATATCTATTGTTATGATGAAAATGCAATTGTGTTGAAATTGAAAACATATAGAGATAGATAGATAATATATATGCATTTATTAACTTGTCTTTTTGAGAAAATGGTTTAAATATGTGAATTATGTTGTCTAAGTAGCACAAACATAATTTGAAGGGAAAGTATACTCTACATCGTTCATCAGTACATATCTGCAGCTTGTTGATCTAGAGTAAATCCCAGTCATATCACTAACACGGCCGGTCAAGTTCCTATTACTTCATGTAAAACATGTTCATAGTATACCGACAGACATTGACATTGACAACATCATCATCTAACTCCATAATGTAAATATGTGAACGCCTGCATATTCATATTTAACGTAAACATCTTAGTAATTCTATTTAGTAAATATTATCATTAGTATATATATGTACACATCATGTAATAGGCCTGTTGCAATTAAATATTATTTTTAAAGAAGGTGTAGGTCAAGTACACAGTCAAAGTGTTTGTATCGTTATCTGTTATCAAATGAAAGCACGCATATACAAGTGTGACATACAATGTATTCGTTTATACACTTTGCATAATATAATTATCGTATATACAATTAACCCTTTAGTGTATCTTTTTAATCAATAAAACACGTGCCATACAATGTATGAAATGTAGATTCGTGAAAAATGACGTATGTGTCATTGAAAATAAAGTTAAATGTGTCCAAGTGTCCACGCCCTGATGTTGTTATTCATATTTCTATTTGTCTTTTAGTATTACAGTTGAGGTTACTGACTAACTGACTGAATGAAAGAGTGACCATATTATTTTAGCTTGTTATGAGTTCATCGAAACCTGAATATGTAAAAAGGAAGGTTTCCATCTGAATTTTTGATATTCATACAGTTTAAATATAGAGTCTTACAATGGGGCGTCAATAGTAAGATTTGATATTTTAATACTTCATATTGAATGTGATATCAAAACTAAATACAAAATTCAGTGGATTGTTTAGAGTAAAATGTAAAACCAAATTTAGAATATTTCAAGAGAGGTGTCAAAAGAAACGCTTAACAGAAACATTGTAATGAGCTGTTAATAGAAACACTTTTTAATTCTCATTTACCAGTGAAAATACAGGATCTACAGTGAAAATGAGTTGCCTTTTTTTGTATCGCGACACAACACTCTTTGTTATTTTCACACTAAATGTACCGATCAACAACAACTCGGGCGGTGTACATGTGGAGCCAGTGTAAATGTGGAGTTTGCCGTGTGGTGGACCAAAACTAGGCTACTGATTACAATAATGACTCTTATATTATATGTGGTGATTTTAATTTAGATATGAACCCTGATCTAGATTATGACAATAATTCTAGACATGTAAACAATCCTAAAGCAAGAGATAGAGTAATTGAGTTAATAAAAGAATTTGGAATGATAGACATAATTTATATAGAGAGCAGCACCCAGAGACCAAAAGATAACACGGAGAAGGTCAAACCTAATCAAACGGTCCCGTATAGATGATTTTTTAGTTTCAGAAAATATAATATCTTGTATTGAAAAATCAACGATTGAGCCAGGCTATCGATCAGACCACTCAACACCAATTATATCAATAGTGTTTAACGATTTTAAGAAAGGAAAAGGCCTCTGGAAGTTCAATAATTCATTGCTTCATGATAGAGAATATCTTAATATTAATAATAAACATATTTTAGACATTAAAATACAATATGCACTAACAGTTTACAACCTCGATTATTTGTCTGTCATTCCAAATGAAGATATTCAACTAACAATCAATGACTAACTTTTTTTAGAAACTCTTTTATTTGAAATTAGGGGAAAGACTATTACTTCATACAAGAAAAAACCCCAAAACAAACAGGAAAGTTATCTTAGAAATAGAATTAAAGAATTAGAAGCTCAAGAAAATGTAGACTTTAAAGAACTAGAAGAAAAACAAAATGAATTGGAAGTGATAAGATTATATAGACTGAAAGGAAGTATTTTGAGATCTAAAGCTAAATTGGTAGAAGAAGGCAAAAAAAATCTAAATATTTTTTAAATCTTGAAAATAGAAATTGTGTTACTAAACTTATCCCAGTAATAGAAAAAGCAAATGGAGAACTGATTAGGGAACAGGGTGAAATATTAAACGAGGTACAACAATTTTAAGAAAAATTATATTCTGCAGATAATGATCTTTATGAGGTTAATTTTGATCAGTTTTTAAATGGTAATAGTGTTCCAAAATTGAGTCGTCAAGAATCAGAAATTTTAGAGGGGAGTATTTCTTTTAATGAAGCATCTTGTACACTTAAAAATATTTAAAAAAAAAAAAAAAATGTCCGGGGTCTGATGGGTTTACTTCTGAATTTTTTAAATGCTTTTGGAAACAGTTAGGTCAGTATGTAGTTAGATCAATAAGATATGGATATAATAATAATGAGCTTTCAATAACACAAAGACATGTTAACCAAAGGGAGATAAGCCGAGACAACTATTGAAAAACTGCAGACCTATTTCACTACTAAATAAAGTATACAAAATAGCATCAGGTTCAATCGCAAATAGAGTAAAAACTGTTTTAAACAAATTAATTAATACTGATCAGTCAGGTTTTATTCCAGGTAGATATAGAGGAGAAAAACACTAGAATAATATATGACATCATGCAATATGCTGAAGAGAATGAAATACCTGGTATGCTGCTTTTTATTGATTTTGAGAAAGCTTTCGATTCCTGTTAGTTGGGATTTTTTTGATAAGGTGTTTGATTTTTTTAATTTTGGAAATGATATAAAAAGTGACCAAAGTCATCTATTAACCAAGGGGGGAATTTTTCATCATTTTTTGAAATTAAACGTGGATGTCGTCAAGGTGACCCTATTGCCCCGTATTTTTCTATTTTATGTGCAGAAGTACTAGGTATCAGAATTAGAAATAATAATAGTATTAAAGGAATAAATATAGAAAACACACCAATATTACTATCTCAATATGCTGATGATACTTCAGTTATTCTTGACAGATCGAAAAACTCTTTAAGGGAAACAGGGGAATTAAACACATTTGCCAAAATTTCGGGATTGAAAATAAACACAACTGAAACCTAAGTATTTTGGATAGGAAGGAAAAAATACCGTGAGGATACATTTTTTCTAGAGACGAACTTGCATTGGGGGAACCATAAGTTTACTGTACTAGGGATTGATTTTCACATTGATTTACATAAAATACCAAAACTGAACTATGATAAAAAATCTGGTAAAACGTAAGTTAATCTTAAAAAACTTGAATAGGAGAATACTTACTCCAATTGGGAAAATTCACATAATTAAGTCTTTGCTTATCTCACAATTTAATCATCTTTTCATATCCTTACCAAATCCAGATGAACACTTCATTAAAAAACTAAATTCAGAACTGTATCATTTTCTTTGGGGTGGAAAAATTGACAGAGTAAGAAGGGGTATTATCATAAAAGACTCTGCAGAAGTGGGGCTAAAGATGATACATATTCATTCTTTTATTAAGGCATTAAAACTTACATGGAACAGGAGATTATTTTCTAAATGTAATAAATGGCAATGTATACTTAACAAAATATTGATATAGATATTATTGCTAACTGCGGATCAGAATACTTATATATTTGTGAAAAAAATGCAAAAATCCATTTTGGAAAGATGTTCTAAACTCTTGGGAAACCCTCCATGATAAGGAAGAAAATTTGATAAATGGGAATAGGACAGTACTGAAAACACCTATTTGGCAAAGTAAATTGTTAACAATAGAAAATAGAACTGTATTTTATAAAGAATGGTATAAGAATCGAAGGGAGTAATTAATATCAATGATATAATAAAAGACCCGAAAACAAGTACTTTTTGTAATTATCAGGAATTTACGGAGAAATATAACTTAAGAACTAATTTCCTTACCTTTGAAGGAATAGTTAGAGCAGTAAGGAAATATCTGAGGCATAAGGAAATAATTAATGATGTTGTTAGTAATCCTTTTATTCCAAATAATCTTGAGATTTTCTTTAAAAATATTAAAGGGTCAAAGGACAACAGGTAAAATAAAGTGGAATGAAATATCTAATCTAGACGATGAAACATGGAATTGTATATATAAAACACCCTTTCAAGTTTCGAAAAATTATAAGCTACACTGGTTACAATATAGAATAAATCATCACATTTTAACAACCAATTCGCATATATTTAAGATAGGATTGGTAGAAACTCCAAACTGCTTTTTTTGTAAAACAGAAATAGAAACGATAGTTCATATGCTATGGGAGTTTTCAGAACTTTGAATTTGTATTAGACTCATTATTTATTCCATTTACTTTTAATAAGGAAACTTTCATTTTTGGCATGCATAACTATAAAAGTACTTACTATACAACTGATAACCTTATACTACTAATAATGAAACAGTATATCTATAGATTAAGATGCTTGCAACAAACTCTATCAATTCACGTTTAAAAAAATGCTATTATAGATCACTACAGAATTCAAAAATATATTTCTTTAGGCAAAGGAGTGGATACTGCTTTAAAAATGGAAAATTCTTGGAAGAAATGGAAGAAATTATTAGAAATCACTCCTAATCCTTGACAAACCCAAAAAGGATAGAATACATGTGTATATTTTACCTCTGTTTGTCAAATTTGATTAAAAGAGAAAAATGTAACTCCCTGCCACTTTACTGTTGAAATTACAATTATTAATATGTTTCAGGTTAAATAAATAGTTGCACTAATAAATGGACACACATATGGACTCAACATCTTCACCACTTTGACCGCTTGATGTCTTCTCAGCCCGAATACCGAAGGGTCAACAAAATTCCTGCCCTGAATCAATTAAACTAGGGCAAACTATTACCACAGGAACGATTGACATGGATATAAGTCCAGTTGTTCCGAAAAGGTAACGAGCGTATGCTTCATCGACAACACTCGCCATGTAAATATAGGTGAAATCCAAGTAACGTCACGTCCTCATAGCGAGAACCGGGGTAAACAGAACATTCTTGGTTTATTAATGAAGTAACACTTTTGACATAATAATGGTGACTGTGTTATGCTTTATTATTATTTTGCGTAAAAAAAATCTAAATACTCACCCCACTTGTGGACTGTAACTAATCTACTACTCCACATACCAAACTGAAGGAACTTTCTTTTCCAAGAAAGGCGAACTGTAATATGAAAATATTTGGTTGTAAACTATTTGGAACATAATCCGTGGGAAAACACAATGAAGTCCAAAATGAAATTACTGAATTCTTGGTTTATAATACGTTTTTTTTAGTTCGGTGATCAGATTTTCCAGCAGGCATTCCTATGGGAACAAACTGCATGTTTGTCCTCTTCTGGCGGCAGACTTGTTTTCACATGGATCTGAATTTCTTCAAGGGTTTATCCTGATTGGTAGCAAAAACCTTGCAAAGTCGATTAATATCACTGTAAGAGATATCATCGATGTGCTTTCTGTAAATAACAAGAAATTTGTTGATCACATCGATCGTATTTATCATCATGAACCTAATATCAAGGACACTACGGAATCTTCTACTTTGACCACTTCCGTTGATCTTAATTAGGGGCCTAACGACGCGCTGAACATTAACAAGAGCAGCTAAGTAGTAAACTGTACGATATGCGTTATGATTTCATTTTTTGTATCGCGAACTTCCCTTTCTTGATAGTAATATCTCTTTTCTCTCCATTCTATTGTGTTTTGATGTCACATTTGATTCGGTATTTAAAAGCCTACTTAGAATATCATGTTTTCCGTGATAAATGTCGACTGCTGACTGGCAAACTTGCACAGTTTCTAAAGATTCGGGTAGATGAAGACTACACCTAATACATCGTATGGACAGGCTGTAGTCGCCATCACGATCTCACTAGGTAGTGTGGTATTTCTTTGTGTAGTGTGAAGGCTAATGTTTATGAGTGTGCTATTTAGAGTGACTTGTTACGTTATCATTACCACGGTACTCATTATGACGACATTTCATTATTTGAATTTGATCTAGATTTACATGGCAGATAGCGTCGACTGAGCAGGTTATAATAACTATTCCAGAAAACTTGGTTTTGTTCACATTTCAG